TTATTCCCCATGAGTCCCATGGACATTGTTCAGCCAAATTTTCAAAGTGATAGGAACAACACCCCTGGGCTAAATCCAACACATGATCTATTTTCGTAAGTAAAGTTTTACTGGAGCCCAGCCAAGACCATTGTTTGTGTTGTCTGTGGCTGCTTTTATGCTTTAATGGCAGAGTGTGACAGAGACAGTAAATGCAAAGCATAAAACATTTACTCCCGGGCCCTTTACAGAAAAAGTTTGCCAATCCTTGACCTAGAGGACCGTAATTTTTTATTTCACTTCTAGTTGGTTTTGCTTACAGCATTGGAGACATTTTCTTCTTTCCCTTCCGTCTCCCCTTTCCCCCTCTCTCTCCTTCCTTCCTTCCTTCCTTCTGTCCCTCCCTCCTTCCCTCCTTTCCTTCCTTCACTCCCTCCTTCTCCCCTTTCTCTCTCTTCCTCTGTTACCTTCCCTTTCTTTCCTTCCTTCCCTCCCTTCCTTCTCTCCCCCTTCCTTCGCTCTCTTGCTTTCCCTTCGTTTCCCCTTCTTCCTTTCACTCTCTTTCCTTCTCTCCCTTCCCTTTGCTTTCCCTCCCTCCATCCTCCCCCCTACTCTCTTTTAAGGACTAACATTAGTTTAGGGAAAGAGCAATCTGGGATAAGCTGTGAAACAAATGGTCTCACAGGATTACAGGACAGTTCTTTTATATCAAAGGTGGTTCTGTATTCTTTATACAGTCCCCTATTTTTATAAATAAAAAATTTAATGAAATACTTCAAACATACAGGAATGCAGAAAGAATATAGCAAACGCCCTTATATTCACCACTCAGATTTTATAGATCTTAACAATTTATTATCTGTAGAAAAGAAATATAACATTACAGATATAGTTGAAGACCTATTTATACCCTTTCTTGGTCTCATTTTCCTCTTTCCTGAAAGGTGAATGCTGTCTTGCACTTGGTATGGATTCTTGTAGTCTATGTTTCTATATTTTTACTACATATGTGTGGGTACCCAGATAGCGGTAAAGAATATATTCTGTTTTAAAATTTCTGCTTCCTGCACTTTTGAAACTGTAGGAAAAATGTAACATTGGCATTTAAAAATCTTGGGGTGGGAGATGCCCACTGGAACTGCAGTACCAATATTTTCATATTTTGGCCTTGCTCAAATTGTGTGTATTCTTTCACAAAGTTGCAATGAGAATATGCGCACCATTTTGTTGCCTTCTTCCCACCCCAACCATCAAATTGTAAACGTTTTCTAGTTTCAATTTTCATAATTATTATTTTAGGGGCTGCAGAACATACTGTTGACATATAATTTTTAGAAAGCCATTTAAAAATCCTCTCGTGGACAAAAATCTCTTGACAGTGGTCACTTTTGGGCTACTTTTACTTTTCAGTGTGTAACTTCTATGGTTTATTTTTTATTTTTTTATTTTTATTTATTTTTGAGACAGAGTTTTGCTCTGTCACCCAGGCTGGAGTGCAGTGGCACAATCTCGGCTCACTGCAACCTCTGCCTCCCAGGTTCAAGCAATTCTCCTGCCTCAGCCTCCCTATTAGCTGAGACTACAGGCATGCGCCACCATGCCTGGCTAATTTTTATATTTTTAGTAGAGACGGGGTTTTACCATGTTGGCCAGGCTGGTGTCTCAAACTCCTGACCTCAAGGGATCTGCCTGCCTCAGCCTCCCAAAGTGCTGGGATTACAGGCATAAGCCACTGTGCCTGGCCTGTGTTGTTTATTTTAACTCCCCCCGCCACATACATTATTTTATTTGAGATTTTATTTTAAAAGTAAATTTAAAACTTTTTCATTGTTGTTAAAAAAGACCTTGCTGGCTGAGCATGGTGGCTCAGGCCTATAATCCTAGCACTTTGGGAGGTTGAGGTGGGTGGATCACAAGATCAGGAGATTGAGACCAGTCTGGCCAACAGGGTGAAACCCTGTCTCTACTAAAATACAAAAAAAATTAGCCAGGCGCGGTGGCACGCACCGGTAGTCCCAGTTACTCGGGAGGCTGAGGCAGGGGAATCACTTGAACCTGGGAGATGGAGGTTGCGGTGAGTTGAGATTGCACCGCTGCACTCCAGCTTGGCGACAGAGCAAGACTCTGTCTCAAAAAAAAAAAAAAAAAAAAAAAGAAAAAGACCTTGCTTTCTGTAGAAAATATTCCAGAAAGGAGGTCCCTTACTTGTCGATGTTTTGAGGGTCAAAATAATGCATGTGCCTAAAAGTCCTTGGTAAACTGTAAAACTCTCTGAACATGAAGAAAACAAAAATATAAAAACAAAACAAAACAAAACAAAACAAAACACCCTAGTGGGTTTGTTTGGCAGCTAGGAAGAACCAAAGACTAATGTCAGAGCACCCAGACTGCAGTGGCCTTGCTCAGCTGGAGTCACCTACATGAGCTTAGCTAAGGTATTCCCAGCCTGGCCTTTGGCATGCCAACGGCAGAATTCTTCTCTGAAGCTAGAATGACTCATGTGAGGAAGAATTTGTCCTAGGTTTCTTCAATTCACCAGGGAGCTTTCCTTAGAATTCTTTATCTGTACTGTTAGAAGGAAATAGAGTATTATAAAAACAAGATTTCCATTAGCCCAACACTTTACAGAAGTCTTTGAGGTCCTTTATAGCATTATCTTAGAACTTACGTGTTACTTCTTTGTGACTAATGACAGCAAGGCACATATTAATGAGGGTATCACAGTCTACTATGGCGTGTTGTCATAAAGCATTAAAAATTAACTACTCTGGAAAATAAACCAACCAAGGGCAGTTTAAAGGCAGTATCAGCTTTGTAATCTTTTCCTAGCTTATTTACACTTATTAGCTAATCCACCAAATCAAAAGGGTGTGCATTTAACAGAATTTCATTGCAATCAGTGAATGGGACCCCTTGAATTTAAGAAACTTTATGGGACTGTATAGAGGCATGAGAGGAGAGGAACCAGCATTATACATACTCATTACAATTTCAAGTGGCCCAGTGTGCAGAGTCAGGAAGAAGTGGCCATTTCACCTTTGGCAAGACTTATGCACCACAGGGGACCCTTCCTCCTCTTGGGCTACTGCAGAGGGCAAGGCAGAATGGAAGCGGTCCAGGACCCAGGAGGAGAATGCTTTCCTCACTGCTGACCTTTTCCACTTCCAACCACTGAGAATCACAAGCCCCTGGAGCCAGGACTTCCTGCATAAACACGAAGACACGGAGAATTAGAGAGGGGAAATGTTTTGCCCAAAGGCTTGCAGGCCTAGAGTGGCGGCAGTGGGGCTAAAATGCTGGTTATTCTGACTGCTAGCTCCAGGGAGAGAGGAGTTTCTTTCTAACTCACCATCTCTCCTCCCACCTCCTGGCTCTGCCTCCCCTCCTTCACCAGGAAAGACAGTGACATTCGGTCCCCTGGATGAGAGAATCTTCAGGGGAGGTCTGGGCAGAGGGGAACTAAGGCATCAGGTCCTCAAAAGACCCACCTTGGGGGAGGGGGTCGAATCACCCTCCAGGGCTCACGTGTTAGCTCAGAAGCATGGAGTTGGTATTAGATGTGCTCTCTGCTAACTAACCGAGGGAGGGAATAGGAGATTCTCATAGGAGGGACAGGCAAGTGTGGGGGGAAACCTTAAACACTGGAGGGCCCTCAGGAACAGCAATGCGATGGGGACTGGGAAATGGGACTAGAGAGGAGGTGCAAGATGTAAGAGGAGATGTGAGAAGTGAGAGTCCAACCCTACTGGCCCATCCCCAAGGCTCCGTCTGGGCGCTGTTTGCATGCCGTGAAATGTTAGGATTTGTGCAGTGAAACAGCTTGTGCATTCATTCCATCTAGGGGAAGTCCAGTTTCTTCCACACCTGGAGATTTGGAAACAAAAGACTCAGCTGGGCGCAGTGGCTCTGCCTGTAATCCCAGCACTTTGGGCAAGGCAGACAGATCACGAGGTCAGGAGTTCAAGACCAGCCTAACCAACATGGTGAAAGCCTGTCTCTACTAGAAATACAAAAATTAGCTGGGTGTGGTGGCACACACCTGTGATCCCAGCTATTCAGGAGGCTGAGGCAGGAGAATCGTTTGAACCCGGGAGACAGAGGTTGCAGTGAGCTGAGATCGCACCACTGCACTCCAGCCTGGGCGACAGAGTAAGACTCCGTCAAAATAAATAAATAAATACAGTAAATAAAAAAGACTCACCATGATCATCCCTTAATACTACCCTCCCTGATATTGTTTTGGAGATGACATGAACCTATATTTGGGGTGACCCTGGTGCTCTCTGCTGGTTTATATGAGCAACTGCACCATCCCGCCAGGTAGAAGGTTCATTAAGAGACAGGAAGGAGGAGAAATGGTGAAAGTAGAAGAACTGCATCAAGAATTCAGGAGTGAAGAGGGAGCAGTTCTCCCAAAAGTTACATGAAATAATCTAAATAAAACCAGCAAGTACCAAGGCTGCTACATAAGAGGTGCTTGGTGATGTTCTGGTTGTGTTTGAGTCAAGATGGACTGCATCTGGGTTGGGGAGTTAAAATTACAAACTTGCTAAGTTTCTCCCCACTCCTGCGGGGGCTGGTGTTTCTCACCAGGACTCAGACTTGCTTTTGGGAATGAGTTCTGATAAACCTGTGTACACTGAGGTGCAAAAGATGGACAATAGCTCAGAACAACAGTCTACAGGTGACTTGCAAGGAACGTCTAAGTGTTAATAGTTGTTTCTTGGCAAAAATAGTTCCATAGTTCAATGAGTTTGTGAGATGTCATGTACCATGTTCCCTCCCTGGGGATGACCATACATGGCATATATTAAGGGCTCAGAAAAGTTGTGTGGCGAAGAAACTGCCTTAACTCTGTTTAGCATTTTACAGACCTTTTTGACCATGGAATTCTTTTTCTCATAGAACACCTATTATCATCTTGAATAAAGCTTGCTTGGAAAATCAGGAGTAGAGAGACCATAGGCCCTGTAGGCAGCTGACCTCTCTCCCTCCTAACTCTGCTTCTCCTCTCTTTCCAGGCAGACATCTTCTCGGGGGCCATATTCATCAATCTGGCCTTAGGCCTGAATCTGTATTTGGCCATCTTTCTCTTATTGGCAATTACTGCCCTTTACACAATTACAGGTGAGTTCATTCAAATAAACCAGCACCTCAAACCCAGTTCAGGATTAGGCACTAGTGAAGGATAAAGGGAAGTAGGAGAGGTGTTTTTTCCTCCTGAGGAGGAGACATACACTCAGGTAACAGTTTGGGATTGCGGTATTTGCTTAGTCCCCACTCACAGACCCTACAAGTTATACGAGTGGTCTCAGAAAGCTGTGGTGTTGGCTGGGATAGTCAGGGCAGCTTCTCACAGGAGTGCATGCAGAGCTGGGCCCTGTGGGTTGCAGAGATGACTTAGCTAAGGTGGGAGAATCAGGGCAGTGGCAGGTGCAAAAATAAGTGAGTACAAGGGGAATGGAGGCAGGTTGGGCAGGCAGATGCTCTTGGCTGGAGGAGGGTGGCCACTGAAGGATCCTGTGTGGGTTTGGGGGGACCATACAGCTTGATAGTTCAAATGAGGTCACAGTATAGGGGCTCTGAAAGCCAGACAGAGGCCTTGGATTTGATGTGTCAGGGACTGGGAACCCCTGTATGGTGGGAGAAAGGAAGTGACTCACATACAGAGGTTTTAGAGGAAGACTCAAGTGGTGACCCAAGAAGCTGGTGCTTGAATAGCAATCGGGCTCCTTTGCAGGGGGGTCACTCTGCCTCCTTGGCGGGGGTGGGAAGGATCAGCTTTAGACTTGCTGCTTGACTGGAGCCCCACAGCTTTGGGGACTAATAAAAAAGTAGACATAGAAGTGGCCCTTTGAAGTGTGCCAATTTGGTGATGTCCCACCATCTCCACAGCTAGCTCTTTGCTCCTCCTTGCCTTGTGTGTGGAAGATGCTTCCTCTTACCACAGAGGAGCCATCTCCTTTGAGCCATCTTCTGGCTCAAAAGGGTCACACCAGACTCTTTCCTCTTAAGTAGGGAGAAGCATTCGCTACTTCTATGACAGGTGGAGTTGTGGGAACATGCTGAGTAGCAGAATACTGTAACAGGATGAGAGGGTGAAGGAAGGAAAGGCAGACGGACGACTGCAGGGGTGTTCTCAGAATGCCAGCAGGAAGTAGAGGGTGGAAAGTGGGGAAGGAAGCAGGTAGACAGGTTGCCCTCCACACGAGGTCAGATGTGTTGTCTTCTTGCCTGCTTAGGGGGCCTGGCGGCAGTGATTTACACGGACACCTTGCAGACGGTGATCATGCTGGTGGGGTCTTTAATCCTGACTGGGTTTGGTAAGTGGGGCCAGGGCAGGCTGAGGAGGTGGGAGCAGAGGTAGAGGGCCTCAGGAATTGAAAGGCAAGTCCAGCTTCTCTACCTGTTGCCAGACTAGGCAGAGTGAGCTGAGGAGTGCTCTGCCCTTCCAAAGGGAGGGTCCAGCCCAGATGGGCTGTCATAGTGAGTATGCAGGGTCAGTTTCCTCATCTCTGGAAGACTGAGGTTGGGTCTGGTCCTGGGTTTTCTGCTGCCCTCTTTCACCAGTCTGGGCTAGTGGCTGTGCTATGAGCCTGTGATAACATGGTGTTCTGTTTTCAGAGAAACTGGACAAAAAAAGGATAAGGCTAAATATCCATCAAGCTAAATCTATTCAAATGTTGTGTCTTCAATCTTAGGCTGTATCTTATCTACATTTTGATGTCAAATGTCCTTTTATGAATTGTTGATAGTGGGTGATAATGTTCCTTTTAATGCCCTTATTTGGCAAAATTAAAAACTTGGCTCCTCAGTGTTGGCCCTCCAATTAATTTTTTCTTTCTTTTTTTTTTTTTTTTTTAACTCGTCTATGAAATCTTAAAGACAAGACTAGAGAACCTAGGTAAGGGTACTTATTATGGGAGGATAGAAAGTACATTTTATTTCTAGGTGCTCAAGGCCAACTTTGTATCCTGCAAAGACTCGTATTTGCTCTTCTCTCTTCTGTTTTCTAAGGACTTTCATTTGGTTTTCCCCAACAGGCCCTGGGTGTTAGCAAGGCAGGCAGTGGAATGACTTATTCAAAGACACACAATTGAGAGGTGGCAGGTTCCTGATTTCTCACCCATTCCCTGTCCATCCCACCACACTGCTGGGTCCAGGGGTGGTAGGTGTGGGTCCGAGGTCCCAAAGGCCACTGTGTGTCTCGGTCTGTGTGTCTCTGTGTCTGAGTCCAGGGCTCCAAAGGCCATGACTGACAGCAGAGGGTGAGGGAAAAAAACAGAGTCTTTGTATGTGGTCCCAAACCAAGGTCTTTCTTTGATTAATGAAAGTCCCTTCCCTTTTATAAAGAGGTTTACAGTTGGAGCACTTTTACAAGTTATTGCTTTGGTCCCCATAATAGCCCCCGAGGGGGCTAGGCAGGGCTACTAATCTCATTCTATGGATGAGAAAGCTGAGGCCCAGAATGGGAAGGTGACTTGCCCAAGGCCACTCAGTAAGGGCTCTGTCCGTGGATTGGGTCCTCTCAGTTTCTCAGGCATCTATGGAAAGAAGCTGCTATGAAGAGCTGAAGGTTTCAGAATGTTCATTTCTGTACCAATATTTTCCAGCTTTTCATGAAGTGGGAGGCTATGATGCCTTCATGGAAAAGTACATGAAAGCCATTCCAGCCATGGTTTCTGATGGCAACAGCACCTTTGAGGAAAAATGCTACACTCCAAGGGCCGACTCATTCCACATCTTCCGAGATCCCCTCACGGGAGACCTCCCATGGCCTGGGCTCATCTTTGGGATGTCCATCCTTGCCCTGTGGTACTGGTGCACAGATCAGGTACCCAAGCTGGATGTGCGGGACGGACAGAGTCTTCCCCAGGGCGCTACAGGAACTTCTGTCTGTCTGTGGTTTGTAGGGTTGGGACAGAGAGGGGAGAGCTCAGGTGGTTTGTGAGTTGCCATGCCCCAGTGATACAGGAGTGCCAAGTCAAGGACCCAGGATGGCGAAGCTGGGAAGTACAAGGGTGTCACAGGGTCTCTGGTCTGCATACCTCCCTTACTGGGCTTTTTCTGGCAGGTCATTGTGCAGCGCTGCCTCTCAGCCAAGAATATGTCTCACGTGAAGGCCGGCTGCACCCTGTGTGGGTACCTAAAGCTGCTGCCCATGTTCATTATGGTGATGCCAGGAATGATCAGCCGCATTCTGTACACAGGTAATAACTTCTGCTGGACCCACAGGCCACTCTCCCTTTTTCTGTCTCCAAGTCACTTCTAAAGCTCTATAGCTTCCAGCTTCCTTTTTTTTTTCTTTTTTTTTTTTGAGGCCAGGTTTCACTCTGTCACCCAGGCTGGAGTGCAGTGGTGTGATCATAGCTCACTGCAGTCTCCAACTGTAACTCCTGGGCTCAAGTGACATTCCTGCTTCAGCCTCCTGAGCAGCTGTGACTACAGGTATGTACCACCATGCCTGCCTCATTTTTAATTTTTTTTTTTTTTTTTTGTAGCGATGGGAATTTGTTATGTTGCTCAGGCTGGTCTCGAACTCCTGGCCTCAAGTGATTCTCCTGCCTTGGCCTTCCAAAGTGCTGGGATGATAGGCATGAGCCACCATGCCTGGCCCTCTAATATGTTATGGTCATATCCAAGCATTATTGTTTCTGTGCTAGACAGTGAGCAACTTGAGGGAACTTTTGGAATTGTCTTTCCTGGTCTCTTACATTGACAACTATTTTCTCCTTTTTTTTTGTTTCAAATCTCCTAAAGTTATGACATGCCTCCAGGTCACTTCTCCCTAATAATATTTGCTCAACTGTTGCTCAGTCTCTTGCTCCCTCCCTCCCACCCTGAACGGTTCTTTGATTCCTTTCCTCCTTTTCCTAGAAATTGTCTTTCTTCCTTAGTCAGAGCTCATCAATGTGTCAGGGCCAGCAGGGCGGGGCAGGCACCAAAGGGCTCTGTGGAGAGCTGCACTCCCACGGAACCACTTCAGGGCCTTGGAAAGGAATATCCTGTTTGAAACCTTGTTTTAAGAAGGTGAATTTTGGAAATATTTCCCCAATGTCTGCTTGCTGACATGGCTCTTCATCTCTTCCCAGACAAAATTGCCTGTGTCGTCCCCTCAGAATGTGAGAAATATTGCGGTACCAAGGTTGGCTGTACCAACATCGCCTATCCAACCTTAGTGGTGGAGCTCATGCCCAATGGTGAGAGTCTTTCTTGGGAGGCTGGTTGGATTTAGGCACCACCTAGATTTCTGTGGACCTTCTGGGCAAAGACATTTCTTAGTCGGGGGATTACGAAGGAAAGCACCATTGTGGGTGTCCTCAGTTTTTGGACATGTCCTTTCTCAGTGGGAAGGAGACATATGACTTGGTTGGGTTCTATGAGTTCTGGGACTTGCCCATCAGTCAGGCTTGGAAAGGAGATGATCTGAACACTTGTTAGAGAAAAACATGACTTTTCCATACTCATATAGAAGGTCTTTCAAAGCTCTCCAACAGTGGATGTAAATTAGCACACTCTTTATGGAAAACTGGATGGTAGTCCCTCAAAAAATTAAAAATAGAACTACCATATGATCTAGCAATCCCATGACTGGGCATATAGCCAAAGGAAATGAAATCAGTGTTTTGAAGAAATATCTGCTCTCCCGTGTTCACTGTAGCATTGTTCACAATAGTCAAGATGGGGAATCAACATAAGTGCCTATCAATGAATGAATGGATGAATGGATAAAGATGTAACATACAGTATATATACACAATGAGATACTATTCAGCCTCAAAAAGAAGAAAATTATGTCATTTATGACAACGTAAATGAACCTGGAGAACATTATGTTTAGTGAAATAATTTAGACTCAAACAAATGCCACATATTCTCACTTATATGTAGAGCCTTAAAAAGTCAAATTTGTAGAAGCAGAGAGTAGAATGGTGGTTACTAGGGGTTAGGGTGGGGATCTGGGAAGATGTTGGTCAATGGTTACAAAATTTCAGTTAAGAGGAATAAGTTCAAGAGATTTATTGTACAACATAGTGACTACAGTTAATAACAATGTATTATACACTTGAAAATTGCCAAGAGTAGATTTTAACTGTTCTCACCACAAAAAATGATAAATATGTAAGGTAATGCATATATATGCTGATTAGCTCAATTGAGCTAATGTACAGATATTTCAAGACATCATATTGTACACCCTCAATATATACAACTTTTACTTGCCAATTAAAAAATATTTTTAAAAAGCCCTCCAACAGATGTTAACATGAAGGCTTGAACTAGGTCCAAGGGGTTTTACCTGGAGAATGAATTGACTTTTATGCTCTTCCAAGGAAACACATGGGGAAAGAGGCAAGATTTCAGCTCTAGGATGAGGGGGTCTGAGGCAGTAGATGGATGGGATTCAAGGCGGCTTGTCACCATAGAGAATCTGTTTCCCTAGGAGATTGAGTGAGTACTTAGCTGTGACTCCCAAATAGCTAGAGTTTTGTAGTTGACCTGTGGGATTATAGTCATGTTTCAGAAAAATCTCCTAATTCTGGCTCAAGGGATACAAATCTGGCTAGGGGGTTAGGTTAGGGGGTTTCAGGAGCACAAAACTTCAAAGTTATTACTCAGAAAAATTTAAGATAAACCTATAAAATTGTATTACTGAAAAGAAACTTAGAGACTAGTCAAATCCCTTCATTTTACAGTGGGGGAAACGGAAGCCAACAGAGGGGACGTGAGTTTTCCAGGGCCAGGCAGGAACGTGGTGTCTGGCATTTGGCCTGCTTAACGCTGCTCAAGGCTGGAATAGAGGAATTCGGGAGAGTCTTTTAAAAAATTAAAAAACTACAAACTTCATGCATGACTTTGGGCAAACCACTTGCATTTCAATTATATAAAAATGGGAGTAGTAGTTAACTAGTCTACTGAGCTGGGCTGCTTATTCATTAAGGTTACAATTAGCAGGAGTCATAGTGACTCTTCTAAAGCTCTGGCATGGATTGCACTGGCCTCTGTGGAGTGTTTATATTATTCCTTTAGGTGGGCAGACCCTCCTAGTGAGGACTGGAGCTCTAAACATTATGCGGGAGTGTACTGTGCACAACAGAAAGATGTGTGGCATGCAGAACAAAATGCTGTACTTCCCTGTGCCGTTGCCAGTCCTTCCTCGTGGCTGTAATCTGGCTTCAGTAAATACTGCATTCCTTTTTTTTTTGAGATGGAGTCTTGCTCTTATCACCCATGCTGGAGTGCAATGGCGTGATCTCGGTTCACTACAACTTCCGCCTCCCGGGTTCAAGCAATTCTCCTGCCTTGGCCTCTGGAGTAGCTGGGATTACAGGCACCTGCCACCACGCCCAGCTAATTTTTTTTGTATTTTTAGTAGAGAAGGGGTTTCACCATGTTGGCCAGGCTGGTCTCAAACTCCTGACCTCAGGTGATCTACTTGCCTCAGCCTCCCAAAGTGCTCGGATTTACAGGTGTGAGTCACCACACCCAGCCTACTGTATTCTTTAATGACCTCCCTGTGCTAGACTAAATAGATATTTTCCATTTCTCACCTTATTGGACCCCTCAGTGGCATTCAGCATTATCGATCACTCATCCTTCTTGAGCTGTTCTTTTCTCTTGAATTCCATCATACTGTATTCCCCTGTTTGTCTTTTTAAATTTTCCCTATCCTCTCTGGCTGCTCCTTTTCATTCCATTTGCAGATTGAGCCTCCTCCACTCAGCAAGTAGGTGATCCTCCCACCAATCCACATCAGCTTGTGTCTATTTTGTCTCCTAATATACATCTCTCTATTTTTTCTTCTGTAACCCTAGTCTGGTAGACCATTATCTTTTGCCTGGACCACTGTAAAATTATGTTCAGCAAATATTTGTTAAGTAAATAAATGAATGGAGTCTGATAAGAGTGTCATACAGAGTGGAAAGTTCTATCCCAGCTTACCAATTTCAATGCAAAGTAACCCTGAACAAATGGCCGAGCTAGGGCTGAAAGCCCTTCCTACTAACTCCTTGAAATAGACCTTTATCAACTGAAAAATGAGATAATTGGACTTGATGATCTTTATAACTTCTGTATCTCTGATAGTTTGTGATCTACACTACACAAACTCAGAAAGAGCCATTTAAAAAAACCTCCAAACAAATGACCAAATAATTAGAATAGGCAGCATTTATACTTCATCTTGCAAGGCTGTAAGTGAGACCATAAATTATTAAAAGATATAAAACCTAGAGGAATGACAGAATCATATTCCAAAAAGATCTCAAGAGGCACGAATGCTGACTCAGATCTAACAAGCTGAAGTTTAACAGAGGTGTAAGTGAAGTTCTAAACATGTGAGTCTCCTAAATGCAGTTAGATATGAATATAGAGAAGAGAGAGTTGAAGGGAACATGAGTTGTCTTTGAATATGTGAAAGATGGCAAAATGGATAAGGGGTAAGTCCTGTTCTGTTGGGTACCATGAGGACTACATTTGATGCTACAGAGAGGTAGATTTCAGCCTACTCAGAACTGTCTGAGGGCAGGTTCCCTGTAGGGTAGGAGATTTCCTGTTGCTGTAGAGTTGGGCAGCGGAAGTGTTGTGGAAGGGATTCATGTATCAGATGGATGATAGGTCTAGGTGATCCTAAGGTTACTTTTACTCCTGAGACTGTAAAACTCTTGTTAGTGGGTCCTCAGCTTGGCCTGGCCTTCTAGCCCCAGCAGGTGCCCCCTTTGCACTCCTTGGTATGGGAAGAATAGTAGAGATTATAGCCAACCAGGCTTGCCATAATTGGGAAAACTTTAATAACAAGAATTCCGTATTCTGATTTGGGAAGGTATCCCTGTTTAACACGTCAGAAATGAGGCCTAGAGCTTGATGTAACTTGCTTAGGATCAGAGTTAGAAATACAGCCTTGTCTTAAAACAAAAACAAAAACAAAAACACTTAATTGAGCTTAAATTCACCTACCCTACAATTCCCTCATTTAAGATGTACAATTCAGTGGCTTTTTAAGTATATTCACAGAGTTGTGCAAGCATTGCTGAAATAAATTTTAGAAAATTTTTGTCACGCCATAAAGAAATCCTATACCTGTTAATGAAATGAGCAGTCTCTCCCTATTTCACCCCAACCTCCCAGTCCTTGGCAACTACTAATACACTTTCTGTATTCCTAGATTTGCCTATTCTGGATATTTCATACAAATAGAATAATATAATATGTGTTTTTTGGTGACTTGCTTCTTTTATTTAACATAATGTTGGCAAAGTTCATCTGTGTCATAGCATGTATTTTTATGTCATTCCTTTTTATTGATGAATACTATTCCATCACGTTTACCCATTTGTCAACTGTTCATGTATTTTGTTTATCCACTTATCATTTGGTGGACATCTGTGTTGCTCCTCCTTTTTGGGTATTATAAGTAATAATATTACAAACATTAATGTATGAGTTTGTAAGTGGACATATGTTTTCATTTCTCTTGGGTAGAGAGAAATGAAATTCCATCTAGGAATGGAATTGGTGGGTAATATGGTAGCTGAATGCTTAACCATTTGAAGAACTGACTGACCCAGACTATTTTCTGCCATGGCTGTACCATTTTACATTCCTGCCAGCAATATATGAAGGTCCCCATTTCTCTACATCTCCACTCACACTTGTTATTTCTGTTTTATAAAATTTATTATTATAGGTATACTAGTGGGTACAAAGTATTAACCCACTATGGCTTTGATTTGAATTCCCCTGATGTTAAGCATATTTTCATGTCATTATTAGCTATTTGTATAGCTTTGGAGAAGTGTGTATTCAGATCCTTTGGCATTTTAAATTGGGTTATTTGTAATTTTATTATTGAATTTTATATGTTCTATATACTAGACTCTTATCAGATATATGATTTGCACGTCTTTTCTCCCAATCTGTGGATGTCTTACTTTCTTGAGAGCCTGATCTTTTGAATCATAGTTTAAATCTCTATTATATCATAAATATTTCGGGTGAGAGACTTTATAAAAATCCCCTCAGATGGAAACACACATACACTCACTCTCACACACACACACCCCATCACCTTCACCATCACCACCATCATCATCATCGTCCAGTTGCAAAGTATTTACCTCAAGTATGTTGTGTCTCCGGCTCTCTGTGGCTGCTGTGGGCTTATAATGGGCTAATAAATTTAAAGCCATAGACCACTTTTTAAAGCTTCTAGTCTTTTTGGGGAGATAAATTGGATAACATGGCATGGTTTCAGAAGGCAAGCAAACCTTGAGTCCTCATATGTTTTCCAAGTACGAAAGAGCTGAAGGTGCTGTATGTGCCACTCAAAACTCTTTCTCTTCCAGGACTGCGAGGCCTGATGCTGTCAGTCATGCTGGCCTCCCTCATGAGCTCCCTGACCTCCATCTTCAACAGCGCCAGCACCCTCTTCACCATGGACATCTACACCAAGGTCCGCAAGGGAGCATCTGAGAAAGAGCTCATGATTGCCGGAAGGTAAGTGTGGCTTCCCCCATGCCACAAAAGCTTGATGATCGGAGAGATTCCATCTGTGTTACACCTCAAGCTAGGGAAGGTTGGCAGATACCTGGGTAGAATGGGAATAATTTCTGTGGCTGGTTATATTTGCCGTTTGGTGGCATTTAACTTTATTTATTCTTTTATTCTTTTTAATTTTTTTATTTCCATTCATGTTTGGGAAACAGCTGGTATTTGGTTACAGGAGTAATAAGTTCTTCAGTGGTGATTTGTGAGATTTTGGTGCACCCATTACTCGAGCATTATACACTGAACCCAATTTGTAATCTTTTATCCCTCACCCCCTTCCCACCCTTTTCCTGAGTCCCCAAAGTCCATTATATCATTCTTATGCCTTTGCATCTCATAGCTTAGCTCCCACTTATAAGTGAGAACATATGATGCTTGGTTTTCCATTCCTGAGTTGCCTCACTTAGAATAAGTCTTCAGTTTCATCCAGGTTGCTGTGAATGCCATTAATTCGCTCCTTTTTATGACTGAGTAGTATTCCATCATATGTATATATACACCATAATTTCTTTATCCACTTGTTGATTGATGGGCATTTGGGCTGGTTCCATATTTTTGCAATTGTGAATTGTGCTGCTATAAACATGCATGTGCAAGCATCTTTTGTCTATAATACCTTCTTTTCCTCTGGGTAGATACCCAGTAGTGGGATTGCTGGATCAAATAGTAGTTCTACTTTCAGTTCTTTAAGGAATGTCCGTACTGTTTTCCATAGTGGTTGTATTAGTTTACATTCCCACCAACAGTGTAAAAGTGGTCTTTTCACCACATCCACACCAACATCTATTATTTTTTGATTTTTAAATTACAGTCATTCTTGAAGGAGTAAGGTGATTATTTTTTCCTTGCTAATTTGTGTGAATTCTTTTGTAGATTCTAGATATTAGTCCTCTGTTGGAAGTATAGATTGTGAAGATTTTCTTCCACTCTGTGGGTTGTCTGTTTACTTTGCTGACTGTTCCTTTTGCTGTGCAGAAGCTCTTTAGTTAAGTCCCACCTATTTATCTTTGTTTTTGTTGCATTTGTCTTTGGGTTCTTGGTCATGAAGTCTTTGCCTAAACCAATGCCTAGGAGGGTTTTTTCTGACATTATCTTCTAGAATTTTTATAGTTTCAGGTCTTAGACTTAAGTCCTTGAATTATCTCGAGTTGATTTCTGTATAAGGTGAGAGATGAATATACAGTTTTATTCTCCTGCATGTGGCTTGCCAATTATCCCAGCACTATTTGTTGAATAGGGTGTCCTTTCCCCACTTTATATTTTTGTTCGGTTTGTCAAAGATTAGTTGGCTCTAAGTATTTGGGTTTATTTCTGGGTTCTCTATTCTGTTTCATTGGTCTCTGTGCCTATTTTTATATCAGTACCATGCTGTTTTGGTGGCTCTGGCCTTATAGTGTAGTTTGAAGTCAGGTAATGTGATGCCTCCAGATTTGTTCTTTTTACTTAGTTTTGCTTTGGCTATGAGGGCTCTTTTTTGGTCCCATAAGAATGTATTGTTTTTTCTAGTTCTGTGAAGAATGATGGTGGTATTTTGATGCGAATTACATTGAATTTGTAGACTGCTTTTGGCAGTATGGTCATTTTCACAGTATTGGTTCTACCCATCCATGAGCATGGGATGTGTTTCCATTTATTTGTGTCATCTGTGATTTCTTTCAGCAGTGTTTTGTAGTTTTCCTTGTAGATGTCTTTCACCTCCTTGGTTAGGTATATTCGTAAGTCTTTTTTTCTTTTTCTTTCTTTTCAGAGACACGGTCT